AATTATTCCAACTGCTCTGTTCTGAAGCCTATAATTGAAAGAGTTGTGGCGTAGCTACAACTTACTTCGTGTAACCATGTCGTTCGGCATAGCTATGCCCAATACTGGCATGGCAACGCTAGTCGTGCAGCACAAGGGCGCTAGAATTCTTCCTCTTCTGCTGCTACTACTGTTGAGTGCTCCTTGGTGTACATCTCAACATTACATATATGCAAAATATAAGAAATTGTGGGATGTATATAAATACTTTAATTAATTCTATAATGAAATTTTTAGGGCATGTTGAGTGATTGAACCTGACACCCTAGGAATTCTACGATGAATTAGATCCTACTTATAGCCGAGGACCCAAAGCCAGCCAAGAATTTAACCGAAAAATACCTAAAATCAAGTTGTCTCCAGATCTATCATCAATGCGCCAAAAAAAAGGGTGTCACGCAGAGAAAGGTAAGAAACTTTCCATTCAACATTTCCAAAAGTGCTAATAGTAGTGAAGTGCTGATCTTGAAACATCAAACAAAAACCAGCATAGTGCGGCGTTTGGACGAGCACCTTAAGGTGAAAAAACAAATGTCGGCAGAAAACTATCCATGGATTAAAAACCAAGACCCAAACAGCTATTCAGTACAAAGTGGTGTTTGGAAGCATAATATTAATAGATTGTAGCATCAATTTAACTTAAATCCAGCTATAAAAAAAAAACCGAAAATTAAATTCAATGCTTTGTTTACTCACGACTTCGTTGCAGTGTATACGGCATAGAGTGGCTCTGATGGAAGAACCGCAGCGACACCCGACCCAATATTCAAAATTGCGCCCTTTTTCCTCTCGAGCATCCCCGGCAACACGGCATGCGTGACCTTCGTCACCCCCACCACATTCACCTTGATCAAATTCTCAATGAGCTCCTCATCCACCTCGTGGAAATACTTAGCGTACGGGTACGAGATCCCCGCATTGTTAACAAGGATCCCGACATCCTTCCCCTCGATCTCCCTCTTTAACCTAGCAACGCCCTCGACAAGATCCGCTGCGAAATCTATGAGCACAGTCTCAATCCGTACCTTGGGGTACTTTTCCGTGATGGAAGCCGAGACGGCGCGGAGCTTATCGAAGCTTCGGCCGACAAGCACGAGATTGAGACCGCGGCGGGCGAGCTGGAAGGCGAGGGCGAGGCCGATGCCATCGGTGGCTCCTGTGATGACGGCCCAAGAGCCGTAGCGCGAGAGATTCTTGCCAGGGCGAATGAAAGAGACGAAGAGCCAGTGGACGACAGCGATGGAGGTTTTGAGGAGGAAGAGGAAGCCGATGGCGAAGACTGCAAGGATCCATCGCGGGTGGGTCAGCAGGGAAGAGAGGCAAGCGCAGAGATCTTTGGCCCTTCTAAGCTCTTGCTCAGTTGTGAAGGCAGGTACAGGTGCTTTTATGGAAGAGTAACGGTTCCGTCGCCGGGGTTGGTTGGAGCAGCTGAGCTGAATTCAACCAAATGTCAAGTTTTTAATTATTTAAAATGAAAGGGTATTTTACGCATTAATATTTTATTTATTTATATGTAAAATTTATATTTCAACTATCCATGTATTTTATTTTCTTAAGGCTAAATTATGAGAACTATGTCACGGACAAAATGTCCCACATCGGCTAGATGTAGGGCCGAAAAGCAGTATTTAAGTCATGGGCTACTCACCACCCCTAAGAGCTCTTTTGGGAGGTGACAAGTGGTATCATAGCAGACCATGTCTGTCAGGTGTGTGGACTCTCCATGGTTTAGTGGGACGTTCGGTGGAGTCGATCCGTGATGAGGACGTCATGTGATTGGGTGGAGGAGAGTGTCACAGACAAAAAGTCTCACATCGACTAGATGTAGGGCCGAAAAGCAGTATTTAAATCTCGGGCTTCCCACCACCCTTAAGAGCTCATTTGGGAGTTGACAATTAGCTCTTAAATTTCTCAAATTAGCAAAGGTAGTGCCCAAAAAAAGTGAAAGAGCAAATTTGTCTGCTCAGGAGCGCACATTCCCGCCGAATACGTGTTCCCTGAAGACGCATATTTATCATATATACACCTCCTTTTGGGCGCATTCACCCCTCAACGATAAAAGCAGGCCAATCCCTCCTTGGTGGAGTCGATCTGTGATGAGGGCGTCACGTGATTAGGTGGAGGAGAGTGTCACGGACAAAAAAAGTCCCACATCGGTTAGATGTAGAACCGAAAAGCAGTGTTTAAGTCCTGGGCTACCCACCACCCGTAAGAGCTCTTTTGGGAGGTGACA